CGCAGGGCTCAGCTTTTTTTGTTTGTTTTTTTGTTGTTTTTTTTCCCCTCTTTTTGTCTAAAAACCCCCCCCCCCACGCACCACCACCACCACCACCTTTGCTCTTGGCTGTACAAGAATTAAACCTTGCCTTATCTTGGGCTACCTGCAGCTGGGACTTTCCTCCTTCTGCAGTAAGAGCGAGCAGAGGTTGCTCTTGGCTGGGTTACATGGCTGGCAAAGGAACTAGCACCCAAGCCCAGACGGGAAGCGGTCAGCTTGTGGGCAGATGAGAAAAACAGCAAAGGAAAAAGAGGCGGAAGGGCCACTCCACCTGTGCCCTGAAGCCTGAGGAGCGATAATCTGGGGGCTGCTAGGCTCTGCTCCTCGGTGGGGGGCAAGTCTCCAGTGAATACGTAGCAAAAGCAGTGCAGCTGTTTTCAAGTGGGGACCGGGGTGAAGTAGCACCGCTCTCCCCACCTGAAACACCAGGTTGCTCCACATCTGTGGCCCGGCCTGTCCAAACCCCCCAGCCCCAAGCCCCTTGGGGTGCCTCTAACAGGCATTGTGGTCACTGAAAGCAGGCAAGGGCTTCAAGCACCTATTGCAAAGATGCAGAAAAGCTCCCCCAGACTGGCTGCATCAGGTGGTGGCCAAACCTTGGTCTCTTTCCTCCCAGGCAACATCAGAGACCTGCTCCCAGCCACAGGCTGCTGCTTGCCAGAGCAGATTCCTCCCCTCTTTGCACCCCTGCAATAAAACTGCCTCACAGAACCACTTCTGAGAGGCAGCCCCCGGGGAAGAGGAGGAAGTTCTGCTACAGGCAGTGGTGAAGCTGCAAGCAGCCATGAGGGGTATGGGTGCAAGCTCAAGCCCTGCTCCCCCTGGGCAACAGGGCACTGACCCCTGCCCACTGCCTCTCCCCAGGGAGGGGGGGGAAGTGAGTAGCACCCAGTTCACAGCCTAGGAGTGACTCTGCTCTCAAACAGGAATTGAGAGCAGCTGGGGGACTTCCACCACCCCCTCTCCCTCCTCATGGGAGTGGGGAAATCATCATGGCAAGGCCCTGGGTGACCAGGGGATATTACAGGATTGCAGGGACAAGATTTGAGCTGGAAATGACCCCTTGCAGGGTGGCAACAGCTCCTCAGGGGGCAGGGAAGTTAAAGGGGAAATGCATTCCTTGGGTCAAAAGGCAGAGGGACAGGATCAGGAAAGAACTCTTTATTTCCCATAAATACAGCAGATTTCTTCGCGCCGGGCGTTTTGTTTTAAATCTTTTTGTTTTCTTCCATTTACAGAATTTTGCACTGAAAATATATACAAGTCTGTTCAAGAACCAAACAAGATCTGCAAAGAAAAAACCCATACAAAACCCTGAAAAGAGACCAGAAAGGGAAGTAAGACACAGCAGAACCATAGCATAAAGACCTTGCTTCCCCCTCTCCTCTACCGCTCGCTGCGTCCAGCTCCAAGATACCTCACCTTCGGCTGTCCCCAAGCCAAGCCTGCAAGGCACCCCGCTTGCCTCCATCTCGCACAGGCCCCCTTCTACCTCTGGCAAGCTGATGCAGGGCGCAGCTTGCCCCTGCTTTTAAGATCAGGCCCTCTTAAAACCAGCTTAGTGATGGGAAGCGGCTCCTGTGGTCACAAGCCCCGTTGGGATGGGGATTGTTCGGGACGTGCCACCCCCAGTCTCCTCTGTGCCTGCAGACCCCCGCTCTTGTGTCACAGTGATCAGGCAGCTGGGGCGAG